TACGTTTCAAAATTGTTTTTTTAATTTTTAAATTTACAGCAAAATTCTTTTTAATATCCGAAATTCATAAACAATCATATCGGTTACTTGGGTTTTTTAATTTTTTTATTTTATATCTTTTTGTAAAGAAAAAAACTAATTTTTTTTTCTTAATAGTCTTATGAACGTGGACTTGGCGCGATTTTTTTACAGTGAAACTGTTTTTGTTCGGATTAATAATCCCCGTACTCCAATTATTATGTTATTGAATTATAGTGCTCGCAATAGTGCATAAAATGATACCTATAACTCTTAGACGAGTTTTGCAATTGCAATCGCTGGTAATAATAATTTGATTAATAGTTTTAAAGTCCAATTAATCAAAAGTCAACTCAATAAAATAATAAATCATTTGATTAAAATTTAAAAATACATTAAAAATTATAAAATAATTTCATCTCTCGACGTTAAAAGAAAATGAGAGTAAAAATAGAAAATTTATAAATTAAAAATAATACGATAAATTCATCCAAAAAATCACAAATATAATAGACTTGAACTTCTATGATACAAAGTAGTGAAACCTCGAGTAGTTAAATATAATAAAGATAAACAAACGGTGTTACAGAATCGAGACACTACGTGCAGCAAAATGCCTTAATATAAATATATACTTTTGTGTAATAAATAGATGTATTCCGGTGTGTGTACAGTAAATGGTTTCTCGGCGTTTCGTAATCACTTGGCTCAGTGCATGAACCCATAATATAATGTATAATAATAACAATCAAGTGGATACCTAAACCACACGTTGGTGGCCACGGTGGGGTAAAACACTTTCTCTTTGAATCCGTGCCTTGGCCAGACATCACAGTACTTCAAAGTACTCTTAGCCAGTTTTTTATCAGCCAGTGAGCATTGTCGTGGTCTTAGACGTTATTTGGTGTCGCTTTCAATCTTTTGCTCCTTTGCTGACTATTTTCCGTACGTATTCATTGTTGCTATTTTTTCACCCTCAATCAATCATTTACCAAATCCCCGTCTCTTTCAATTATAATGAAATTTTTTTGACCGAATCAATTATTCTTTTCAGATAAACAAAATACAATAAATTTCTCCTTTAAGAAATTTGATTATACTCATATAATTTTTTATTTAAAAAATAAATTAAAGTGTGGATAATTTTTTATTTAAAATTATAAATAAAAAATCTATTTTTTTAAACAATATTGACGAGACATTAATAAGTAATTAATAATAAATAGTAAATATGTTGCATAATTTACAAACTTTCTTATTGTTGCAGACCTAGATGAAGTAATAACAACGAGAGTGGATAGTGGATGAGACAGAAGCCGATTGGATTTGTAAATTAATAACCGAGAGAGGTTATTGAATATTCACTTTGATAATAAAGTGATAAAGGTGTATTGAAGTAAATACTTGAGGCATGGAATTATCACGTGCATGGATATTACTTGTGTGTTGCTTACTAGCAATAGGGCACGTTACATCCGCACCGAATCCTCAGGAGCCGGCGTTTGAACTTCCAGTCCAATTAGTCGGATTTCCTGTCATCATTGCCGCTGTCAGAATTACTAATTTCATTAAGAAATTGGCCTACTCTCTCAACCCTCGTGAGTTTATTATTATCATAATATGGTATTATGTTTTGGCTTAGTCATTTTTTTTAAAGAAGAAGCACGAATATAATGAAAAATTAAGATGTTGCATCAACTTTTTAATTAGTAATTAGAATTAGTGATTGTACAAAATTTAGCGTCACTTATAAATTGACATTTAAATTAAATTGATGTTTTTATTTTTGTTAAGGAAGAAATTTTTTACTATTATATAAATTGTTTCATTACATGTTTTTAAAAAGTATAAATAAAAGCGTGTTTTTCGAGTTTAATAATAACAAATTTATAATAAATACAGGGGAAATAACGTGATTAATATAAAAAGGTAATAAATTGGAATCCGGACGTCCTTGTAAGCGAAAGTGTTGAATTCTTTAGTTAATATATAACTTTCATGCTACTGTGTATCAAATTATATTCTTACGTCAAGTGTAATAATATATTATAGATATCTGTATATTTTATTTAGATTAATTAATTTTATTTCGCACGATTAATTCCGAAAAAACTTTGTTTTCGTTTTCATAGAAGTCGAAGTTAAGTTCTCTGAAAAATTCAGAGTAAAGTTAATTATTTTCACTAACTTGGTTGAACTTTTTTTACAGAGACCTACATGGGACGAAGTAAAAGATCTGTGCAGGATGAGGAGATATTAGATATTGACCAAGTGGAGAAGAAATTAATTGCCGAATTGGGGGAAAAAGTTTGCATTTATGAGAGAACCTGCGCCAAATTTGCCGCTATTACACTCAAGAAAGGATATCGCGACCCGAATCTTGATTGGGATGAAATATTTAGGTATTTATATCCTTTTAAATTGGAACTGTCATACGGTTTGAGAAAAAATTTATTTTAAATCCTTGATATTAGTTTTTAGGCAATATAAGTTTCTTGAATATATTCAATTTTATTGTGATCAATTGAATTAAAATATATTTCATTGATTTAATATGAATGCGAAAAAACAAAAACACATATCTAAATAGTTCAAGTAGTTTTTAAAAAATATTTCAACGTCATAAAAATTGAATTCTGGTCAAAAATCTAGTGAAAATAAATTTATGAAATTTTATTACTGTATTTTTAAATAAATTTTATTGATTTCGGATAAAAAATAGCTTAATAAAATTTTTCTCGATATTTTTTACAATTTTTAAGATGATTTAACATCTAAAACATTTTTTCTCATTAGTAAGAAATCTATTCAAATTTATTACGGATTATTACGGAATAAAATTTATTTTTTTTAGATAATCAAAAAAAAAATATTTTCATCATACCTTTTTCTGACTAGTTATAATTAATCAATAGACATGAAAAAGAAATGAATTAGTCATCCGAAGAACTTTATTATTACATTTAAAATTTTTTTTATAACCAATCACGATTTCATCGCCATAAAATTAACGATCACAAAATAACAAACTTGATTAGACGACAAGTCCATTCTAATGACGAAGACAAAGTTCAAATAATAATTGACGGTTATAAATTTTTTTGTGAGGACAAAGGTGTACAAACTTTGCACTTTACCTCATTCTATTGCTGTATTAACGGCTAAAGTCCACGATTACAGAGTAGAGGACAGTGGCAGATAATCGTCGAATAAATAAATAGCCAAGTGAGGGATTTGGGAAACGGGTAGCAGCGTAAATCCGTCAGCTATTACCGAAAATAAAGCACCGGGAGACAAAAAATATACTTTAGTGTTTGGTCCTCGCTCAGTATCCTCGCTAATGGCACGAAAGCTCGACTCGTACTCGTAAAACCAAGATCGAGAGCTGAAGAGATACATCCACGGATTATCCGCGACATTTGTTTGTCTAAGTTCTAAGTACTCTATTGTGTATCTACTCTACTTTACTTCAGTTCTATTCTATTCTACTTTATCCTGTCTGTTTCTTTGGACGCTAGCTCTCTTGTAGCTTTACACTAAATTTTGCTGTAAGCAATGTCAGGTACAGATTGTCTTAATGGCTTGGCGCGTGTGCCCTAATGCATCTCGATAATTCTTTACTTACAGATTTACACTACACTTAACACAATGTACGATAAAAAAAATTAATTAGAAAATTCTTCAAGTTTTAGACAAACTATATCAATTACGTTTAATTAACTCAAAGTCAAAAATTACTATTTCTAATTTTTTTTATCACTTATCAAATATTTGATTGATGATTAAAAAATCAATTTTTTTTTATTATGGGTACATTTATAGAATTTTTTAATATGAATTTTTTTTTTGTTAAGCATGGCGAATAAAAACGACTTTAATGAATTGTTAGGATTTGTAATCAGAATTAATTTTAATTTCTTGAAACTCTATTTGCTTTAGAAATCAATTCTCTTAAAATGAGGAAGAGAATTAGAAAAAAAAAATCATAATAATAAAACAAATTTCCGTTTATTTTTGTAGTGTTTTAATAATTCTTGCGGTTAAATTTATCTATAACTCTAACCATTAATAAAAATTGAAAATACTAACACAATATAATTTTGTTAATTACAGTCAATACAAGTCATCACCAGATCCAATGAAAGAAAATTATTTACTGAGTGTTTTTATGGGAGAAATAATTGGTAGCCCTCGACTTTGCCATCAGCTTTCTAAACGACGTGCTTGCGATGAAAATTTATCCGATTGACCATTTTCATCCGTTAGAAAAATTTATGTAAGTATTAATTTAAATTAAAGTAAAAATATCAATATAATTTCTAACCAACTAATTCCGACATTTCCCTACAGATTTAATGGGGAGAAATTGATGTGCTATAATTATTACTATGATAAAATTCGAACCTAGTAATTGTAAATATGTAATTTAGTAATCATAATCACTCTATAAAAATAATTGTGACTTGTGAAGCTGTGTATTATCTTGTCAGACGACAATTACCTCAGATGTTTTAATATTATTATAAAATGTACTTGACTTGAAATTGTTTTTGTTATTTTTTTAAATAAATACATAAACAAAAATATTTATTTATTTGTTTATTGAATGGAAGTTCCATTCGCGAATAAAATGTTTACGTAATTGAAATAAAAAAAAAAAACAAATTGAAGAGAGTAGAAAATATAAAACGTTGACAACCCACGCCAAACGTTGCTTTCAAATAAGAGTAACGTAAACGTAGAACATAAAATAAGTCTGGTTTAACAACCAGTCGTCAACTTCCTTTCACAGAGTCAACATTTTAAAAAATAATTATTCTTAAACAGTAATTTTTTTTTTTGATAATATTGTCATTTACTTTTTACGACTGATTAAAACGAATAAATACAACCGATAAAAAAGTGGATTAAAATTGCTTGTTTCTCGCTGGGACAAAACAAATTTTAATTACTCTGATATTGTGATGAAAAAATTAGAGTGCCGGTTTTATTGTGAGTCGACCGTGAGGAATTTTTAAAAATAAATTTTTACAAAGACCGAGAATCGAGAATAGAGGAAAAAAATAATAAAGTTTAAGTTTAAATTGAGAGTAGCAAGAAAGTGAGTGAAAAAGTTTGCCGAGAAGAGCAACTTGGTATGATGTATTTGTGTTCGAGTTCAATGTCCCAGTGCCCGCAAACGAAAGTGACTTGGCTCGTGAAGAACATCAGCCTTGTCCTCATTCTTGTGCTTCTAGGGCTTCTTCGTACTCATCCGGTTGTCTCAAGTCCCGTTCAAGTTCAACATAACACTCATCAGCTTCGTTACTGTCGCTTTGAAACGACTCATAAGTTTTACACCATCAACGATTTGTTCAAGTCAGATATTTCATTAAATTACTTTTAGATCAATAAGTCATGATATTCATTATTTATTTTATATTTTTAGATGTATTAATGAGCTGGTACCCAGAACAAAACACAGAAAATCTAGATCGGCGGATGACAAAACTCAATTATTCATGACTTATAAGAATAAAGACATCGATGAGAGCGAATTTGTCCCGCATGCTGAAGCTAGGACTTTTTATACTGACTTTGTTGACATAGTAAGTTATTTTGATTATTTTTTTTAATTTGCTATCATTAATCTAAAAAGAAAATTGTTTTGATTCAAGAGAAAAATTTTTCTTGATTTAAGAAAATTTTATTTGACTCAAGACAATGAAACTCTTCAAAAATAATTTTCTTACCTTGAGAATTTTTATCGAGAGTCAAGTTCATTTATTTTTTCAACGTAAAAGCGATTTTGTCGATTTTTAAGAAAATATTTGTCTAGTAGAATACATTTACCCAAATTACAAGCTTAAACATTTTTCAACACTCAATTTGACTATTAATTTAATGATGAATAAAAGAGTTAAAATTTTCTAAATTAATTTTAAAAATTTTTATTAACAATTAAAAATTTCTAAATTAAAGAAACGAGGACCGTTGCCAAGAAATGATGGAAACTACTACCAATATCCTGGACAAATTTACCCTACAGACCCGAATCCACGGCCTGGAATACTAGGAATAAACCTACTAGAGGCATTTTCATCGATAAATAAATACGACGACCGAAAATGTGTCCACAGAATAATCTGCGAAGTGGCTTCTGGTGTTACACCCGGAAATGTTGGATTCAAACGTGCCAACTCTATCTTCGGAATCGGTTCGCTTATCGAGTAATTTATATTATTGCCAGTATTTACTTGATTTCTGAGAGTCTGTATACTTAACTAATTAATTACTTATAACTTGTTACAGTTACCTTACAACGAGGACTTTTGACATCTCATCACCGTTGCTGACATTCGGAAAATCGGCTTTGATGGGTTGGAACAACAGAGGAAATCCAGACATCTGCTACCAGAGATACCCTCAGTGTCCCAGAAGCCAAAATGAACTTATTAGTTACTTGAATAATTACAACGGAGGGTTTTTCAGGTTTTTTAATTATCGCAATACAGGTGAGTATTCGTTTAAGGAACTCTTAATACTTGAACTCTTCTGTTGTATCAATTATTAAAATTATTTTGCGATCAATAGGAAGCTACAATCGTGGTTTGGATGCAGTTGATTCACAAATGGTTTCTGATCGTAAAGCAACGGGGGAACTTAAGTTTGATACTCCTTCTTCAAGAACTGTTTTGGTTGAACGCAGCAAGAAAAATGATGATCACAATAGAGTTGTCTTTCCAGATCAGCAGTATGTTAAAATTATGGACTATACTGACTCAGATAAATTTAATAATTCACCGGAATCGTCGTTTTTTCCTCAGGTAACATTCTAGTAATTTTTTTTTGTATTGACTTTAACAAATTTCTTGAATTTTTATAATTTTTTTTAATTTAAGGTAATTATAATTGTGTAGTTATACTACAAACTGGTTATTTGTCAGGGATAATTTTTTTATTTAAAAAAAAAAATATTTTCTATCAGCAAATTGACTTAAAAAAAAATCATGTTTTATCAATATTATATTTTTGATATTTAAAAAAAAAATCTAAAAATCATTTTTATAAGTTTGAATGAGAAAAATTTAAAAAAAAATTCTACAAGTATAAAATTTAAAAAACTATAAATATATTTTTTTAAAAATATTTTTCTAGTAACAATTTATTATTTTTTGAATAATTTAAAAAAGAAAAAAATACTCAATAATTTCAGTATCATTTTTTTTTACTAATTGATTATAATTATCAGCCAATTGAATCATCATAATAAAAAATTTCTATTGTCAGGATAGGAAGGATCAAAAAGTCGAGGAACTGGTATACGATTTTCACAGCGATAAATCATCCCAATCAGAAGATAAAGATAAAGAACCGTCGGCAGTGCCCAAAGAATCACAACAGGCATCTCGAGGGTCTCATAAAAACCACGGAAAGCTCTATCTGCCGACTAAAAATACTCCTTATTCAACTAAAAAATTATCAAGTTACACCTTTCCAGACGGGCAGCGTATCATGATAGACACAACCTTCTCAAAATTATTTTCCGATAGCTACAAAAAACCTCTAAAACGGGGCCTCGTGAATAATGCGCCCCGGGCTATCGACATGGAGGGTTTGTACGTGATTAATCTGACGGAACTGTATCCCACCGTCAATGATGACACTCGTCCAGTGGAGGAGCAAATTATTCATCCTTGTGACGTGATTTGTCATGATTCAAGAGGTACAGCTGTTCAATTCACCCAATTTGTTAATTCTAATGATGATAATAGCAACATCAACTCCAACTACGCCAGCGCTGATAAAAATAAGTTTCTCACCACCCTCATGACACCTGAACACCCGATTCTGGACTTATCTAAGAGACTACCTTGCCAAATTATTTGCTTGAATGCCCGCGGTCAAAGGCGACGTATTACTACTACATTTAATAAAATAATAAGATCCAAGCTTGCAAATAACCAAGGTCGTAATTTTAACTAAAATTATTATTATCATTAATTTTTTAATGTATTTTTTTGATTGTTTTTACTCTATTTATTTATAATGGGATTATGTAATTAATCAATGCAATAAATGACATTAAGCTTTAAAATTTGTGAAAAATTCGTAATTCCATTATTTTATCATTGTTATTGTGGATAAGTTGTTAAATCTATTGCAGAGGGTGGTTATCAATCAGGAAAGACCAAAATTATAAAACCAAGATTCGTGGGTGAACCTATTATATATGATAAACATCCGATTATTCAATTATCGGATTCTCCAGGGGTAAGATTTGTTTTTAGTACTAAGTTATTATTAATGAAAATTATAATTTATAATTAGCTTTTAAATTTCATGTTAAAAATTTTTGTTATGATTGTCATTTATATTTATTAAATTACTAAGGTCGCTTAATGAAAAATGAAGCGTAGTTTTATATAATATTGCAATTTTTAATGTATAAAAATTAGATTAAAATTTTTTTTTCATCATTTGAGAAGAAATAAGAAATATTAAGTTAGTATATAAAAATTAAAAAATATTTTAAAGGAAATTACAGCGCCATCTCTGGTAGAAAAAATTAAAAAAATGTTAGTATCGCTGTAGTTACTGAAGATGTCCTCAGTAGATGCATTACTAAGTATTTTATGAAATTTCAAGTGTTTAAAAATAAATTTTACTTAACATTTATTTATAGTAAATAAATAAAATATGAAAATTAGAATTTTTTAAAATTTTTATTAGAAAATAATTTTAAATAAAAGGATTAGTGAATTTTTAATTTTTTTTAAACGAATAAAAAAGATAAAATTATAATATAGAATAACCGGAGATTTAAAATTGAATTTAAAATAAAAATAAAGCACTCAAAAAAGACAAAACAAAATCTCTATATCTCCAAAATCCACTTTTACAGTCACAAAAAAATGATCTTAAACCTTCACTGTATTCTCCACCCCACAAAAAGAATAATAATAATAACAATAACAACAACACAAAAAAAACCTCCATTCCGCATCACTATTTTTCTCGCCCCAAATCTAAAATACACACGCGACCTGATTCGGTTTCATTGTTAGACCCTGACATGCCCAAAGTACTTTATATGGGCTTGTTCTTTTATTAAATTTAAAGTAAAAAAGGTCGCTTTATATTTGGACTAGAGAGGAATCAGATTATAAAGATCTTTTTCGTTTACCAGGTGCCATTGTCGACGCTGCCGTGGGCAGGTGGGTCAGGTATAGTTAACCCCTCATGGGGACAGAGATCACCGACAATGCCATCACCATCGGATGATCCCGATACACCAACCAAAGTAATTGGATCGCCATTGTCATTCGAAAAAGGCGACACTGTAATTGGTGATAATCCACTTGCCATCACCACAAATATTTCATTGCCGAATCATCTTGCTGGCTCGGGAGGCTATCCATTCGATTATTTTCCTAATCTAAAGCAACAATCACCGCCAGCGACGACAATAACTATCTGCAATGGACGCATCTATATTATGCCCGCGAATACCGCATCTATGCCGCTATGCGCGACGACCATTGACAGCGAAAGTAGTTCGAACAGTCTTCCCTTACTGAAGAAAGAAAAGAACAGTTGGGGAAACTACACACATTTTTTTCAAGAACTTGCTAACTTAAGCAGAGATGATAAGTACAATTTTGATAACAATCCGCATAATACGGCACTCAATGATTCAGTAGAATCGATTGGTTTTTTAAATGAGCATATACCACCGCAAGATTTCGGACTAGTGGAAGTTTATACGACTACTGCTCACTATCCACCGTCTTTTCATGATCCTCCACCAGGTAGTTGAATTGTTTTAGTAATTTTGTTAAAATTTCATAGATTTTATGATAAATGATCCAAGTGTTTAAAATTAAAAACTTGAGAGATTTTTTGGAAAAAAATACCGTTGAAAAAATAAAATGTAATTGAGATACTCTCAGGATTATAAAAACACATCTAAGAAGACAATTGGTAGTAAAATTTTGCATTGAATACGATAAATTCACCAAAGAAGTGAAAAATTTCAAAATTTCTTACTTTGCCCCTAACTGACTTTTAAATGAGTAGATTTATCAAAAATTAAAAAAAAAAACTTATTTGTGGAACGTTCAATTTTTTTTACAAAAATATGCATTGATCTCTGCTGATATTTATTGTAGAGATAAAAAATTAATTGCAAAGAAAAAAAACTATGTTATTTAAATTGATAAAAAAATAATGGAAATTCCAAAATCTATAAATCTTCTGATTAATAAATACAGAACCGTGTTAAAAGATTTTTTTCAAAATAATTTTCCTCAGAAATAATCCTATAATTTTTTATTATCACAAATTGAGGGTACTCTGACGTAACCTTGTAACTCGATTTTTGGAGGTTACGATTTATAAATATTTAATTTTTTTTCTGAAACATAATTGGCGTATATATCGATGAGAAAGTACTAAAACTTTGAAATTAGCGATAGACGTTTACGATTTTATTATTTGATTTTCTTGAAAAAAGTTTTTTGTTTCTCCATAAAGTAGTGTTTTTTGAGATACGAGGTTACGTCAGAGTACCCTCGAAATATTCTGAGCAATTAATCTTAGCCTACTTGTATCAATATATTAAAAACACAGTGACCTACTATCCACAACAAATGACTAGGAACCTGAAAGTGACTTATTGAACTAGTTACCAAATCCCTCGGCAATCAAACTTGTCAATAACCAAGATAACAGTTTCAGAAACTTCTCAAGAACCAAACTACGAGGAATATTCTTGTCTTGAAAATGAGTCGTGGGATGCCAAGAGCAAACAGTGTACTCCGACAACACTGGAATCGGTGAACACCGAGGAGACAGAAGAGGAAAATTCTGATGTATTCCATAAGCTACCGGTCGGTCAACGATCCACCAGACGACAGCGAATTGTCATAAAAACACCTCACGCCAATATGTACATCCAAAGTAATTAAATGTTACAAAGAAAATAAACTGATGAATATGATTCTGATTGTAGATGAATAAAGTAAGAAAGTAATAGTGACAGAGTAACAGTTAGATTATTTGACAATAGTTTCTTGTTGTGGTTGATGAGCTTGAGTGTATCAAAAAGCTAATTGTCTCGGGCTGTCAGTTGCACCCTTAGACCCCAGTAGCACTTGGCCCTGTCCAGAGCACACGCCCCTAAGGGGGTTCTGGAGTTGGTATTAGACCGCGGGGTTTGTCTCTCATCCAGAGTCCTGAGAATTATACTGGAATTACTGTACTGCTATATACCACTACTACCAGTACGACTACGAGTACCACTATTTACTGCTATTAGCGATACTACTGATGGTATACCTCAGCGATTCTCTTCCTGCTGTCACGTAGTCTAACAGTGTCTACACCGTGAATTATACGCCAGAGAGAACTAAATAATTATACCCCTGCTTTTAGTATCCGTCGATGGATACTCATTCCCGAGAGCTTATTTGCACAGTGTCAATGTCTTTATGTTTGTTCGAGTGTTGGTAAATCATTGTATCGTGCTCTTCGGTGATTGTAGTCGGAGAATAGGGGTTTAACTTTTTAAGCTTGGCAAAGGTATTTGAGAATCCTTGCGAATATTTTTTTTTATTTGGTTAAAACCTTGAATATAAATTTATACTTCTATTATTTTCAAGTCTGTTGATGTGTTTATTTATTTACTAATGCTTTAATAATTAAAAGGTGACAATTTTCGTAAAGTCATTGGATATTTGAAAAGTATACTGGTAAAAAAAAAGTTTAATTTGAAAAAAAAAATGTTGTTTCTTACTATTTGAAGATGAAAAAGAATTTTCAGGTTGAACAGCGTAATTTTATTTTTATAAAATTGTTTGATGAAAAATATAAGGAACATAAGGGTACATGTACCATTATTAAAGTGTCAAGTCATAAAATTATCTTTAGAGATCAATTTAAAATATTTGAAAAAGTCAATCTAAAAAATTATCTCAATTAAATGGAGTTTTATTTTTAATGTTTATTGTTCAGAAAAAAATTAGTCAATTTTTAAAATCCACGTCATCCACATTGTTAAGTTTGATCGTCATTTTATACTCCAAAACGGAAAAGAATCATATACCATGAAATATATTACCCTAAGGGGTTTATGTTTGCTTTCACAGAGAAATTCATCGGCTTTACTTTTTTCGATAGTTAAAAATCAAAACGAGTGTAAAGTACAACGTATTGTGTTCAGCTCAGACGGAGGAAGAAAATCGCGTACGTGATATAAAACGAGCGATGATATAAAAATAGTGGCACGCGCTTGTCGTTGGCCAGCCGATTGATCCGGGACACGTGTCATCAATGCCGCAATCAGCGAGTCTGACTGACGGCACCCGGCACTTTTTCATCTTTATCCGTCTCTTTTCATACTCCCATAGTAACCCATTATAAATATACCATACAAATATTTATCTCACTCTAATGCGTTATTTATAGAGTCTAGAAACCAGTCACTTGAATCCTCCGCTTTCAATAAAATCCTTAAATGGAAAAACCGTCATCAGAAATTCACGATACTCGCAATCTCACTTTTCATCTTTGCTTGAGGCTTGGCTCCCCTTGGCTCTGTCCAAGATGATCCACTTATCAGAGTGTGTTGACCAGCGACCAGAGCCAGGACTTGGGTTTAAGGCTTAACGGGTAGTAAAATTGAAAAATTTTATATACATAATAGGAGGAGCTCTGGACAATACAGAAAAATATGGAAGTGTGTTAAGCCATATTATGCGGTGGTGGATTGACATGAATTTTTATTCCCTTCGGAGAATTATCCTGTCGTGTACAGTTGGGAAATTTGAAACCTCTACTTTTATATTTTTTTAAAGAGAGATTGAAATTTGATCGCGGATTATTTTGAGGGTTACGGATTCTGGATAATATTGTGTTGAAAGTGTTTCGTAATAATGAAATTTTGTTCTTCAAGTATATACTTATCAGAGAGATTTTTTTTTTTTTGTTAAGAAAATAATGATTGATTTTTTGATTAAAACTTACACCGCAGGCCATGTAATTCAAGTTTTATTTATTGTAAAAAATAAATTATATTCTTTAAAAAGTTTTCAATTTTTTTAAGTTCTAATTACTTTAAAAATTTTAGATATCTTTGAATTTTTTGATTTTTTAAATAAACCATTTAATACAATTGAAATAAATTTTTCGATCTTTTGTCTATCAATTTTTATAAAACAATCTCGTTTTATAATCTATATTATTAAAAGAATAAGAAAAATTTTGTGTTCAGGATAGTCAATATAATAAAATCGGTTTTTTTTTTTTTAGTGAAATTTAGTGTCATTGCAAAGGTCTTGAGTTGAATTTGTGCCTTTTCAAGGTTTCATATCATTCTCACCGATAGTCATTTTAATATGATAAGTATTTAGGTTGCATTCAAAAATTCACTATCTCTAGATACATAATTGAGAAATGACCTCATATCTTGAGAAATATTGACATTTTTGAAGATATAAGTTCACTCCGACATTATACCCATCGAGACCTTTGATTTGAGTACCCATATCAATTTTTCATATATTTTATATATTTATATATTTCACAAATACCATATAAATAAAATATATAAAAAATGCCATGTGGGTACTTAAGTGAAAGGTCTCGATGAGTATAACATCGAAATGAGTTTATATCTTAAAAAATGTCAATAATAAAGAAATGACCTTGTATCTTGTGAAATATTGACATTTTTAAAGATATAAGCTCATCCTGACATCACACTCATCGAGACCTTTCATTTGAGTACCCACATCAGTTTTTCATATATTTCATATATTTATATATATGTACCTATATATGAAAAATATATCAAAATGCATGTGGGTACTCAAATGAAATCTCTTGATGAGTGTAACATCGGGATGAGCTTTTATTTTAAAAAACGTCAACAGTTATGAAAGTATAGTGTATTTTAACAAAATTCATTATTTTATAAAGCAAAATTTTATTTATTTATAGTTCACAAGTCACGGCAGTCGCATAGTGATTGCAAGATTGCTAGTATTTATTATTGAATTAAATTTCTGAACTTACATCTCCAAAGATTTCTTCCAAGTTATTTTTTTATTTTATTTATTACCTTTATCTTGAAAAATTAAATCAATATTCTTTGTATCAAAAAGTTCATTCACCTGTATTTATCCTCTAATTTTTTTTGTCAGATTACCGCAGTAATTCATCCCCTAGGGTCCTTTGTCACCCGAACACTAATACACCCGATAAACACGTATATATCTGTAGACATAATATAGAACATATTAAAAGTAGAGAGTAGAGCCATGAGCCAACGAACTCCTTTGCATCGTTTCCAATTGCCGCGGATTTGTCTACCCGGCACTTGGGGTGTTAAGCCGACATCATCGCGACACCGTATACCAGTCTGCACTCAGCTACATAACACTAGCCTCTATACTGTACAGTATTATGTGTATTCTACCCACAACTTTAGTTTGGTAATATAAGTAGAGTGTATGTATACTGAAACTACAACTACAACTAATACCAACACTAGCACTAGTTCTGCAACAGCACCGTCTTCATTTCTAATAACGAGGAATTATCGTATACAATACCACCCAATCCTCTTTGATGTTGGCGCGGAAAATAATACCGTAGCTAATGGAATAAGATTATGTTCAACAAACTAACACAACTACCCGAGGTACTTAGTACTTACTTTATATTATGTGTATATATAATATAATATTGCTGTTCTCTTCGTCACGACGATGATAGTACTAGTGTTTATGTTATGATAGTTATTATTATATTTTATACCTATTTAACAAGATATCCCGACAATTATCAATAAAACACGATCATGAGTAGATATAATAATTATTATAATACTTTAACGAGTCTTTTTAATTAATTTTGAGTAAATTTGATCATTGTCTGTTAAATTTTTTTAATTTAATTTTAAAAATAGTTTCTAATTTATAAAGAAAGAAGAAAAATTATTCACAATAATTTAAAGCCGTGTGAAAATTTTAAAATTTTGCCGTCATAAAATAAATCATATTTTTATTTGTAGAGAATTTAAGATCAAAAATGGGAAAAATTATACGGCATTATGTAAAGAGAGGACAAAACTTCCGGTATTTTATTTATTTCCCAAGTTAAATAAAAAGTATCAAGAACTGCGAGAGTAGTTCTCACAATTTAAACCCCTAGGATTACGGCAAATTGGTCGATATCATATTATAAATTCTTGTGTGCCAGAGAATGCGTCAGTTATAAATTTTTAGCTGAAATATAAGAGGTACTCGCTGTTGTGATATTATGTCTGTATCTATTTTATATATTTTTGTAGAAGGATATAAGAGAAGTAACGAGAAGACGAGAGCAGTAGGAGAATTGAAAGGGATGAATTTGTGTTCATGCAACCGAAACGAAACCTACAAAACCTCCAACAGAAGTCGTGACTAGTAGATATGGAATATATTTTTTGTTTTATAATTTATGGATTATTTTTATGATGAGAAATATTTTAAATAAAAAATCTTCTTTATAGTTTTATAAAAAAAATGAATTGTTTTCGAGTAAGTTGCTTTTTTTTAAGAAGAATAATTATCAAATTGTTCTTCGTTTTTTCTTCCAATTTTCTAGATTTTGCTAAGAAATATTTGATTAGGTAGCAAAAAATTTATCTCAAAAAAAGAAAGTGGCTAAAAATTAAGTACGTTGAGTTTGGAGAAGATTCATTATGAATTAGAGACGCTATCGTCCGGACAATCTCGATGAACTAAGTCAGAAAATAGTAAAATTTTTCGAAAGTAATTATAAAAATAAAAATTACAGATCAAAAACCAAAGAGGTGAGCTTGAGGATAGTTTGGAGTTATTTAGGGTTTATTATTAGCAGTAACGCGGGAGTATATGAATCATGGTCAGTCAGTCGAACATACGCACAGTAGAAT